CCACCTCTACCCAACGCTTTGAATTCCCTGAACGAAAACACCGTCAGCCAATTAAGTAGCTGGCTAACCCGCTCCTGTTTACTTAAGTTCACAAAAGTCAGCCAGTTGGGAAGAAAAAAAAAAAAAAAATTCCAAAATATCCATATTGAACTAGGACGCTGTTATAAAATAAACACTTGGTTTGGAAAGTAAACACCTAATTTCTCTTACTCTTTGTTTTTTAATAAATGTCACGGCACAGCAGCGCTCTGTTCGGCGGGCGGGATTTCGCAACGAAAAAATACTCGGGATGGGCTAAAATTGTACCTGTTTGCTTGAAAAACGAGCTCTGCCAAACTGTTGTGATGTGAGTTTTAGGTCAGGCTGTGGCTCCCCAGCCGGGAAAGCGACTGCGCTCACCAGCGTGACCGCACCAGCCCCGGGCAGCTCCCCTCTGCTATTTGCACAATTAAGCTACTTATTTGCTGTGATTTTAAAAGGAAACAGCCTGTTTCTCACCTTGGGTACCCAGTGAACCTTGCGTCACTCAATAAATAAAGAACTTGGCCCAAAAGCAAAGGAAAAAAAAAAACCCAACCCAATAAACCCACCAAAAATAAGAAGGGTTTGCTCCCTGTCGATGCCCGGCTTCCTGAGAAAAAGGTCTCTCTTCTTTGGGAAGATTTTATCTGCTGACTAACTCCACATGAGAGCCAGCTCAGGATGCGATCGTGGCTCCTGGTGGTGTCCCTCCCGGTGCACGGGCAGAGCTTCCCGCTGACAGGAACCATAAAGGTAACGGGGCTGTCCCGCTCTGCAAACCGGAGTCTGGAAATGAAACCCCTTCCTACAGCCTCATCGCTTTTTAAAATTTCTTCTATCACCCAAAGTTTTTTTTCATTCCTTGTTTTACACAGTCAATGCCCTCCCTTCTCCATGAAGCTGGAGCTGGACCAGGCTGACTTCCCGGCCACCAGCCAGGGACCTGCCTCCCTCTGTTGATGAGAAAAGATGCTGCAGAGCCAGAGACCGGCCAAAAAACGCTTCCACGAGATCCTGCTGCTGGAAAAGCAGGAGAGATTCAGCTCTGCTCTTCTCATCTCAACCCAGAGAGCTTCTCCTGAAGCCTGGATTTAGGCACCGGATTTGAGAAGATGAGGGAAAACGCGATTAAACCATCCTTACACAGTGAGAACTCAAAAACCAGGGGTAGATCCTCGGTATTTTAAAAACTAGGTTTTATTCTTACCAAATATAAAGTCTTTCTTGACAGCAGCAGCAGAGCCAGCCCTGCGCCACTCAGGGCAGTACAGGATGGTGCAGGCTGAGAAGCGATTTATCCCCAGGAGGGTCGGACCCCACAGCCACGACCACACCGAGCTTTGCAGGGGAGTTTTGACAGAACCCTGGGCACTGCCGGGGCGTCACAAGGCTGTCCTACCCCAGCCAGAATCTCGAATCCTCCTGGCCAAGCTCACTCCATCCAGCCCTTTCCTTCCAGAGCCGAGCTCACGGGCACTCCCCGCAGTCCGAGATGATCACCTTCTGCTTCGGTTTCCCATCTTTGGTGCCCTGAGCCTTTGAGAAAAAGAGCGCCAGGAACTCAACGCACAAAATCCGAGGGCAGGAGGGAGGTGGCCTCCGCCCTGAGCACCCCGCGGCCAGCACTCACCTCGATCTCCCGCACCACGTCCATGCCTTCCGTCACCTCCCCAAATACCACATGCTTCCCGTCCAGCCAGTCCGTTTTATCACAGGTGATGAAGAACTGGGAGCCGTTGGTGTTTGGGCCGGAGTTTGCCATCGACAGGAGCCCTGAGATCAAAAAAAAGTGCAGCGTTACGGCTGGGGAGGGAGCGATGAGCCGCTACTTCAACCCAAAACCATTCTCATGCCCTGCAAAACGCTGACGGTTTTAGGGGAGTCCTTGAATATTAAACTCCACAGAAACTACTGGAAAGAAGGAAGTTGAGAGAGAAACACCTGCAAGCACAAAGAATGGAAAGAGGCAGAGATCACTCATGTATTTTTAGGTGCAGTAAGAGAAAAGCTGTTTGCACGGAGATAAACCTGCACGCTTTTTGCTGCTCTTCATAATCGCACCGTGACTTTCCTCCTTCAACATCCAACAGGAGAGCAGCTTTGAAACTCTTTTTCTAGATGATGTTGAGCCATTTTGCTCTCCAGCCTCTGCCTGGGGAGCTGGCTTTACCTGGCCCCGTGTGTTTGAGAATGAAGTTTTCATCGTCAAACTTCTTCCCGTAGATAGATTTGCCGCCGGTGCCGTTGTGGTTGGTGAAGTCGCCGGCCTGGCACATGAACTGGGGGATGATGCGGTGGAAGCTGCTCCCTTTGAAGCCAAAGCCTTTCTCGTGGGTGCAGAGGCAGCGGAAGTTCTCTGGTTGGGAGGCAAGGGGGAAGAGAAGTGAGAGCTGCGTCGCAGCTGGAAGCCACCACACCGGGAGGTCGAGCCTCTGCTCACCGACGGTCATGGGCACCACGTCCGCACGCAGGAGGATCTGCAGCCGCCCCGCAGGTTTGTTTCCGATCTTGATGTCCATGTAAACCTGAGGGTTGACCCGGGTTTTCTTGGCAGGAGGCTCGCCCTGGGCAGGAAAAGAAAAAAAACAAGTCAAGATGCCATCACTCTGTCTCCAGAGACAACCATCGGCACTCTCAGCCTGCAGGAGAGCAGGATACAGATGGTGTTGGGTATTTTTCCTACCTCCTGCGCCTCTGCTTTGGGGGCCTCTGCTCCTGCCTCCTCCGTGTTCTCCTCCAAAGTCTTCCCTGAAAACTTCTTCAGCCACTCGTCATCCGACCAGACTGCAATGGAAGAAGGACCGGTCAGAGCACAGGAACCCAAACAAAGGGCAGCGCGGGTCAGGAGGCAGCATGGCGGCAGATCACACCCGTGACGTGGGAGTAGCCCACCCCAAAAGACACAGCGTGAGGGGAAATAAGGGTCAAAATTATCTCCTTCTCCTCCTCCCTGTGGTGCAGCTGGGCAGGACACAGCCAGCTCCCTGCGACTGCCCCCAGGCAGTGCAAATCCTCAGAATGGCCTTGGCCCCATCTGCCTTTACAGATGTGGCCAGATGTGTGGGCAACTGTGTCTGCCACTTGCGTGACCCCTCTGTCCGAGAGTGTGCAGCCAAGACTGTTTCCATCCAAGGAACTGGGAAGTATCTTTGGCTATTAAGTTATTTGGTCATTAAGCGATGCTCAGATCCTTGAGATCCCCGAACGGGATCTCTGAACGAAGTTCTGAACATCCACAGGGATGCTCTCCCTTCCCTGGCACCAACTCACCAGGTCTGGAGGATCCTTCCTTAATCCGCATCGGTTTGGCCAAGTTCACCCGAATTGTCCTGCCAAAGAGCTCAGACTCATTCTGCAGAGGGGGAAAAAAAAAAAAAGCAGAACAAAACCCACTAAAAGGTCAAAAAAAATCAACAAATGCCCCTCAAAATCCCTGCAGAGCCCAGAGGAAAATGAAGCTTGCTTTCCCTCCACAGTCCACGCCATGTAGGACCTGGGAGGACAGCAAAGCCACGAGGCTCCACGGGCAAGTGGGAACGGGGTCCGTACCATGTTGTCGATTGCTGCCGCTGCATCCTGCCAAAAAAGCAAAGAAAATCCGTTATTTATCATTCCTCTTCTCTCTGCCTTTAGTTTCTTTTCTCTCTCCCTTTAAAACCAAGGCTCGGCACACACGTGCCGCAGCATTTAGTTTCGATTCAGATCACCAAAGGGCTTTTCCTAAACCTCATCTACCCCAGGCCAGTAGGAACTGATGGATCTTTGTAGAACCAGCGTCTCGGGGTTTGTCTTTCCACAGCCAACCCTGCAAACCCCCTTAACGCACAACGTTATCACTTCCATCAACTATTTGGGAGAAGACGTCTCGTGTATGAACCCCAGGAGAGATTAAAAAAAATACAGGGCAGCCTGTGCTGGCCAAGAGGCCAAGAAAGCCCCGGGCTCTGCTTCAGCCTGAAGGAAGACGGGAGCAGCAGGGATCTGAGAAGGCAGAACAGCAGCTGCCTCCATCGCTGCCGTCCCCAGGGAGAACAGGGCCTGGCCGTCAGGCGAGGAAGAGGAGGGTGCAAGCGGCTCAAGCCTTTGCTCCTTTATTTCCCTGGCTGTGAGGGTGGGGAGATGCTGGAAGAGGGGC